ATGGCTCTAGTAAAGGTATAAAGGTATGTCTCTGGAGGTATGTCCTCCTCGAGGGGGGGCACTCTAAAAGACTTCCGGGGAGGTCTAATTCCGTAAGATCAAAGTTTTGCAATTCTACAATTCCATTTCTGGTGTTTTAGTGTTCCACTTTGAAGTTACGAAAATCATAACAGGATTGAGGTTCGGAAGCTTTATCTTTTACAAAAACTCATTAATACACACTGTACTTAGACATTTAACCTCCACTTTTGTGGAAATGAAAATATGACTAGGTTTGATTAAAAGATACATAAAAGAGATAGTTTGCTATATAAATATAAAAGGCTGTCTTGAATTATCGATTGATTGATTGATTGTATACTGTTTAACGTCCCTCTCCAGAATATTTCACTGATATGGAGACGTCACCATTGCCGGTGAAGGGCTGCAAATTTAGGCCTATGCTCGGCACTTACGGCCTTTGAGCAGGGAGGGATCTTTATCGTGCCACACCTGCTGTGACACGGGGCCTCGGTTTATACGGTCTCATCCGAAGGACCGCCCCATTTAGTCGCCTTTTACGACAAGCAAGGGGGTACTGAGGACCTATTCTAACCCGGATCCCCACGGGGCTTGAATTATCGAAGAACTATGATTAAAATTAGATGACCAATAGAGTTTTGTTGTTAGTAATGTTTGATTCGTGGTTGTTTACATGATTGAATCCATACTGTTTCAAAGTTTTGGTTTTTTTTTTGTATTTTTGCCTTTATTGTCTAATGTCATTTCAATTTAATTTTTAGTTCATCCATTAAGTAAAAATCTTGCGACATGGAGTTGAAATCGCTCGAAGGGATAGTTCTTTTAAAATTGCATGAAACCTATTACATGCATTGAATATGAAGAAAACAAATATATCTTCAGCCAAAAATTACATTGGAAGAATAATATGGACGCAGAGCTAAGCAAGCACGACTCTCTGAAACATCAGATGTGGCATCAGGTACCGTGGGAAAATATGAATATTTTTTTCTATCGGTTTCTTTCACACTGCTCATTGCCATGATAAGGCAAGTTTGAAATTCCGTATTTCAAATCAGTAAACAACAATGGTCCAATAGTTTGTATGAAAAACGTCAGTCAACTTTTAAGAGAACGATTGTAGTTGCTAACAGGATCATTGTATCTATAATAGAATTTACAAAACTTCGACTTTAAGTGGAATTGCAAATGTCATTTCTCTGGTGTATTCTATTAACTTGCAAAAATAATCATCATATCTAGGTGTTAATATTGTATTCTGCTTAATAAATAAAAGAGGTTGACGACAAAAAGCTACAGCATTAAGTTCTGTTGATAGATTTCCACTGACGTCTTTTTCGAGAAAAATATCCAAAAATATAGATGAGTGCAACTCCATTTTGATCTTTCGTTTCGAGTTCGAAGGCATAAATAAAATCAATATATGAATGAAAATTAATATTTATTGATTGATAAAACATAATCTACATATCTAAATGTCGAATACTTGGCCACAGCTTGAAATCTTTTTTTTGAAATTTCTTTTTTTTTCTGTCAAACTTTTTGAATAAGTCCTGTTTTGTGTGAAAGTTAATGTCTATGCTCTTCATCATTTTCTGTTGAAATTTATGCAACGATCCCAAACCTGGGATTATCTTCATATACTCTTGACTACATGATATTTTTTATAATCCTAATGTTATGGCCAGGCTACCGTATAAATTGTAGTTTAAACATAACGAAGACAAAGTATATTGAATGAGAATTGTACGAAAGCCCAGAAGGCTCATTCGAGATTCAAGTTTCGAAATACGAGATTCGAAATTCGAGTTTCGAGATTCAAGATCCAGATTAACCAATCAAAAGGCTCATTCGAGATTCGAGGTTCGAAATAAGATTCGAAAAAATCAAAATCCAATATCAAATGTTCAACATTTGATTACTCCCCTTTATTATGTTTTATCTATCAATAAATCGTTTAATATATTTATAACAAATGAGTCATTTGATTAAATTACAATGCAAGAAAGAGTGTTATATATATTAGAAAGAAAGTTAAATAATCATTGGATTTTTGATCAGCAAGATATACTTCAATTTATATTATGAGTTCTTAAATATTAAATAGAATACAATATCAGGAATACATATATTTTTGCATTGTCTACTTTATATAAAGGGTTGTTGACATAATAATACAGTTATAAATAGTGTCTAAAGATTAACAAAATCCCCACCCCTACCCGCAACACCTGCCAATATTTCCCGACACTGAAAATGTTACTTTAAGAACTTGAAAGGCAATGTAGCCTTGATAAATAAAAACCGCGCTCGTTTTCCTAATAGAGGGAATACATAAAAATAAAGTTTTCAATTACTTATCTTCATCTAAGGCTTTGATTTCTTGAATTAATTAACAATTATATATACAATACAGATTGCAAACATGAATTAGAATAAATGCAGCATTCATTTTATCTCATATCAAACAGTAGATTAGTCTAAATTAGCTACAGAACTATAGCGTTACAGTGTATGGTTTTATATTTTAGTCTCGGACCATAGCGTTATGGTCAAAGACTAAAATATACTCGGTTTTTATTTATCAAGGCTACATTGCCTTTCAAGTTCTTTAAAGTAACATTTTCAGTGTCGGGAAATATTGGCAGTTGTTGCGGGTAGGGGTGGGGATTATGTTAATCTTTAGTCACTATTTATAACTGTATTATTATGTCAACAACACTTTATATAAAGTAGACAATGCAAAAATATATATATTCCTAATATATGTATTCTATTTAATATTTAAGAAGTCATAATATAAATTGAAGTATATCTTGCTGATCAAAAATCCAATGATTATTTAACTTTCCTTCTAATATATACAACACTCTTTCTTGTATTGTAATTTAATCAAATGACTCATTTGTTATAAATATATTAAACGATTTATTGATAGATAAAACATAATAAAGGGGAGTAATCAAATGTTGAACCCGCATTTGATTGGTTAATCTGGATTTTGAATCTCGAAACTCGAATTTCGAATCTCGTATTTCGAACCTCGAATCTCGAATGAGCCTTTTGATTGGTTAATCTGGATCTTCAATCTCGAAATTCGAATTTCGAATCTCGAATTTTGAATCTCGAATGAGCCTTCTGGGCTTTCGTAGAATTGTCATTTATTATATGAAAATTACAAGTAATTTCAACATATTCGGTGTCTATGTTATATGAAAGGAGAGGAAGCAGGAGGCAAAATGACAATAAGTATATCTTGGAAAATGTATAATTGCAATACTTTTGTTAAAGTAAAGCGCAACAAAATAAATTATTCTTTGTTCATTTACGTCATTTTTGTTTCATTTTCAAGATTTTTTGCTAGTTGTCTGATTTGCTGGAGAAAGCATGAATCTCTATTTCCCCCTTTTTTTGAAATTTAGTATTAATCCTTTTTGTTTTAATGCGCAAATATTGAAACTAAATTTGAAATAGTCATGCTATAAAGTTTTGAAACAAGAATATCAGCATTTTCGTCTAAAGTCATCATTTCGTAAGTTCTTATTCTTGTTATCATTTAAATACAGAATTGAGAACGGATTTTCCCGTTATTTTCCGATTATGACAAGGAGCACACGGCGGTTGTGACCGGTCTGCAGGGGATGCTCACTCCTCCATGGCACCTGATCGCACCCCTGATGTTTTGTCAGTGTTTGCTCCTACTTTGTATTGTTTTATGGATTTTTGATTTTGTATACTGTTCGTTATCTCCATATGTTTCATCTTATAAACCATTGATTTAAATATCAAATTAATTTTCATAAATTGAAAATTGAATTTTGTAAATACGCAAATCTAAAGTTATAAGTTCGATGGAAACAACTTCATTTTCAACTGCCTGAATTAAAAAGAAATTCTGTATACAGAATAAAATGTCAATAATTCTCATTTTAATTATCATTGGTTCTTTCTCACATTGTTGTGTTAGCTTTTTGAAAGGCACTGTTTACAAACCCAAACAACAGAATAAATAAATGACGACCGAAACCAGGAAATTCGTAGCAAAAACTCAACATTCAACTTAAAATAAAATTTTTTTGAGGAAGCAAGCTAAAAAATCGATGAATTGTAGAGCATTTCCTTTTTCTACTTCTGGTTTTTACAAACAGGGATTGAACTTATTGGACTTTAAATCTACAAAAACCTAATCAATCATTCTTGATTTTCTGACCGTATATTTAATATCATCGTTATCGATATGAATTCTTTTATGACAGAAAATCATTAACATTTTTGCATTCATTTATTGCTTTTTGTAATTTTGTGTAAGAGTCATGAGTTTGTTACTACTATTATGAGGAATTTCGATCGCATTAATTTTATTTTAAAGAAGTTTATCATCGTTATTCTAAATTTTAAAAAGCATCCCAAAGCATGAAAATGTGATGCCTTAAAAGACGAAAATGCTTCAAAGCATGAAAATGTGATGCCTTAAAAGACGAAAATACTTCATAGGTATTTGAAATTTTCCGTTTTAAGATTAAACTGTAGAGATTGGGGGACATTATATTGATCGCGTCTGTACATCTGTGAAGAGGGTAGTCACGCTGATTTCCTTCCGTTCTCATAAGAAATACAAACTTTACAAATTTTACACTTTTTAATCTATCAAAGAATTACCACATTCTTCCTTCTTCAAATAGATTTCTACTTCCTTATTTTCTTGTGAACATGCAATATATTGTGGTCGTCCCGTCTTTTTTTGTTGATAGTTCAGAATACCTAGGCTATCTAAAAAAAATTTATTCAGATCTTTTATTGCTTAATATTAATTCATTATTTGTTAAAACCCTCTGTTGGTACCCTTGTACTAAACCAACAAACACATCCTCTTTGAATAGAATCAAACAGCAAAAATCATTGTAATTATCACAGCTTTATTTGCATCACAACTCCAAAAATACAACAAGTTATAAATATTACATATCATAAACTTAACAATGACTTTCTCAGCTACAATTGTCCCAACATTGATTTGATCAAGTAGAAATGTATTGAATTTAATAAGTCTAGATCTTAAAAAAATCTTTGACAGCGGGAAAAAATGTCTTTAATTCTTTTCTTATCCACCAGTGTTTGTAAATAGAAAACTTGCATTATAGAAATGTTCAAAATAAGTCTTAACTGTTGATAGCTGAATTCTTGTAATGAAATATGGTATTCAAAATTTTCAACATGAACATTTTTACTTGTCCCGAACACTTGAAATAAAGAAAAACTTTTTAGAGGCTATTATAGAATTATGGAAAGGATACTTTACCCAATGTAGAAATATTTATAACTATAAATAATTTGAATAATGCTACAGTTGGATACTAGTAAATGTCTTCCAACTCAACAAAATTGAAAAACCATACAACGCTTTACTAAACAAATAATCTTCTATTTTGGCAATCTAGCAATACATTTCATAATGTATATTTGTATAAAAAAAACGGTAAAATAAAAAAAAAATGAATATAAAAATATACATTGATAACATTGCACATTTGTGTATATGAGGTATTCAAAAAATCTAATTACCATTGTGAACAATCTTGTATAAAATATAAATCAAAACCAACAAATCTGCATTTCAAGAACTGGCATACATTTATCATACAAGCAAAAGAATTATATAAATGAGTATTTAAATCAGGAAATACTTTTTGTTATGTTTAAATACTTGTCAGAAAACTGAGAAAGAAATTCAATGTCCTTACTAACAATTGTGTAATCCCTGTAATATCTACTGGCACGGTCGTCTGACAAATTCCTCAATTCATCGCTCATGACCTCACGTGTCACGTGATTTGTTATTGCGCCGTTTACAACTGTATAGATAGTTGTGTGCATATCACACATAAGTTGGTATAGGTAATCCTGAACAGGTTTCATGTTATCGTATAGTTCTCCGTGTTCGTAAAATACTTCATCTTCTACAACCTTTTCTAAAAACACAGCTAAAAAGGAAAGACGTCTGTAGTCTTCCAGAAGAGTAACTGTTATCTAGAAAAAAAATAAAAACATTCAATTTCGATTCAATAGTAACACTGAAAAATATTATTAAAACTTTAGTTGAAAAGATAACAATACATGCTATCGCATCATTTTGGTTTTTAAAAGTCAACTTACATTGTTTTCACAGTGTGTGCTCTCTTCTATTAAATCTAATTCATCCATTTCCGCTGATTCCAGGTACTTAATAAGGAAGGGATTTGTTATTCTTTCACCCAGGGTTGGAATCTGTAATATAAATGATAATAACTTAGAAATAAAAAAGTAAGACCCACTTCATACAATGGTGATGTTAGATTTAATATGTCAATGTAAATTGAAATAGTGATATTTACATAATGTTTCCTTAGTGTTATTGCTGCATCTCTTTGTAAGTTAGCTTTTTGGTAGATTTGCTGTAGGGCGACTTTAAGCGGTATCACAGCCGGTTGTAAAGATTGGGTATCTGTCTGTACCTGTAGAAGACAGGGGTTTTCCCATCTGAAAGTGGTGGATCTTTTCTGTTGGTTCAAAGGGTAAGAATCGACCGAGAAGCTCAAATACGACAGCCCTGAAAAAAATTAACATTTATGCTATTTTTAGTTTTATTTTTTTATATGGTAAAAATATAGCTTATACTAGAATTTAGAAGTGTTATAGTAGTTTTTTATAACGTTTGGTATTTCTTATTAAATATGTTTAGATCAACTAACAAAGTTTGTGTACTAGTACGAGGGTTGTCCCAAAAAGTCGTAGACAATGTTTATAATTTTTTAATCGTGCAAGCAATACTTACCAACTTTTGCAAAGACATAATATAGTCAATGTTCTTTAAAATTGTGAAGTTTTAAATACATTTCTTTCATATTAATAATATTAGTACGATTTATATGAAGGCCGATAAGGCCTGTCGGCGCACGGACAAAATTCCGAATAATTTACGCATAAAACTATTACATTTGCTTTTATTTCTTTAGTTCTATACAATCCATTGAATTCAAATTTAAATCACTGAAACCAGAATAAAAATTTCAATATTATGTCAAATTTTCATATAAATATCATTAGAAATAGACGATTGGTGTCATGATTTTCATAGTATCGTTGAAATTGAGTTTGATGAAAATGACGTCGTCAAACGCGTAGTCGGCGCACGGAGATGTAATAGATTATGTTGGATATGGTTAATATACATGGGAGACGGAAAAAAGAGTACAGAAGTGACATTACACACCAGATTTTAAGTTATTTTTAAATTGCACGATATTCAATGAGAGTTTTTTTCTGTACCGAAAATAGTTAATTACGGCACGTAAGAAGTAGAGTACTGTTTGATAAATGCAGACAATTTGGACAAATCTGCGTCTCGAACAATGTCAAACAATTAGTATTCCCTGCTGCCTACAATGTAAGGCGATCTTTCGACTAAATTTCGACTGAAATTTGAATCTACTTAAAAAAAAAACAAGTAAAAAACAAACAGACAGAAATTTAAATATTTCCGTTAATCAAGAGTGGTCTATCACATAAAAAAAAATATTGAATGTTAATAACCTCTAGTGAAGCAGACAAAGAGATCATGACGTTATGAGAGACGTAATTAATTTACGCTTGCTTTCTTGCGCCGGTGTACACTTATATTCTTTCTTTGTTTTTTCATAATTTTCTTATAAGATGTGATATCATCATGAAACTTGAAGTACATGATCATAAAATGTTACTCTTTGCTATGACAAGGACAGAAATTTAATAAAGCAAAGAGAAACAAAACTTTTACCTGTCTACGACTTTTTGGGACAACCCTCGTATTTGCAATGTAGGTTCATACGATATTAATAGGGGTTCAAAACTCTTGAGCCTAAATTGAAAACTTCAATGCATGATCATGTAAAACAGGGTTCTTAAGTACATTTTCGTTGATGAAATGAAGAAATAGTTTATGTCAGTTGTCTATTTAAATAACTCTTGTCATCAATTTTTATTTTGAAAGGATTCTAAAAGTCGGTCATATATGAATAAAAGTTTTGTTGAAGATTTTTCTCTTCTCGTTCGTGAAAGAATTTTACGATACTTCTGCATTTAAATCTGAAACACAATTTAGTCCGTGCTATTTAAATATATCTTTCAGTATGTAGGGTCGTTTTGATAATAGCGGTGAATACTGCGAAAACTTTGTCAATGGGGAAGAATAATACAAAATATCAGAAATGGAACAATCCTTTTTCCTTTGAAGGGAAACTAGACTAGTACAAAAAAGATAAAAATAGGATGAAAACATTGTTAAACAAAACTTGCATTTTATTTTCGTGATGCGCACCCACTGTGTACATATTTTAAGAGGAAAAATTCTAAGTATTCCTTGACTTTAAAAATTTGTATTACGACATTTAAAAAAAAATACATGGTTACTGACCACGAATCAAGTTTTTTTTATCTGAATGGCTAATTTTAAATTCTGTATAATATGGTAAAATTATCATGTGTTTGAATGTGTATGCGATTGTGTTTGTGTCGATCGGTGTAAAATATTTTTTTGAGGTTCAATATTTCTTACACTTAAAATTGAACTAAATATTAAAATGTTGAATAAATGAAAAAAAAATAAAACAATAAATTAAGAATTCACTGAAAAGTGTCCCAACTCACAAGTAATGATCATCAATGGTGAATTGTTCCACATCATTTTGTTTTGGTAGTTATTGACTTACCTCTAACCACTTATATTTATACCCTATGAGCTAAAAATTTTCAAAAGTTTGAAGTCATGAATTGACTTCAATATGTGGAAAAATTTTCACCTACATGTAAAGTTAAATAGTATGTCTCATCGTATAAATCGAAATTCCGGTGGATGTGTATGTAATGTTGTAGGCAGGTTTTGGAGCCAAAATTTTTTGACGGGTGCTTTGAGTTAACCATGACGTATTTTCCGTCAATAGTAGGCGAATATAATGAATGATAGGTCATATACTTTTCCCTGTTCAGCTGGCAGTTTTTTACTTCCTCCAAGAAATTGAATATTTGCTCTTGCACCCGGAAAAAGGTTTATATTTGATACAAATCTTATACCTTACAAATCTTTTGGTGCCGCAGGAAGGTTTTTCAATTCAAGACAGACTGTGATGAAATATTTCGTACTGATTTTCTTGTCTACCTTTGGTTTCGCTTCCGTTAATCTTTTTTTTTAAATATAAGCGCGTGTATGAAGAATCTGGTTAAGCTTACTACTCTTACAATACTCCTTCGAACTAAACCTGAAAGTCAGATGACAAAGTAATGAATTCGTATCTACTATTCATCAAAATACTTTAATCTAATCTATTTCCAAACAACGACAATAAAACCCTTAATTTGAGAAAAAAAACTTTAAGTTTCACTTTCTATCCTATTTATCAGGATGTGTCCAACAGGTCATTATGAAAAGAAGTACATGTTTCCTCCGGAAGAAAGGAAGTTCCAGAATAAATCAATTACCATATGAGTGAACAATTCTTGAACTAAACGTAAACAACATATTACTAACCATTCATTCGATTAATCTATTTAAAGAAATATTGCAGTGAGAAGAACCGTTAACCCATGGTAATATTGGAGAAAAGAAAACACAGGCATTCTCGAAAAATTATTAGCATTTTATATTTAGCTAAACATCAAAAAGTTTGTCTGCAATTGATGGATCATATACATGCATACTATGAGCACAAAAATGTAGACTTCCATATTCTTTATCGATGTAAATAAATGATGTGCAAAATCCCAATGTTCTTTTTTCAGGTGAAATGAACAAAACGCGTCCCTCTTGGGAGACCTATGTTCAGCAGTGTTTTTAAAAAAAAGTTCTTATGTCCCTCATAGACTCGGTACTTAGGAACTAACTTTATCGGGACTGATATGATTCAAGTCGAATGTAGCCTGTCAAAAACAGCTGTTTATTGTCTCATGTTTACCCCTGGTGGGTTCAGATTTCTAGGTTTGCCTAACTTTCAATCATTTGTTTAATGCCATTTCATAGTATTGAAGTACCACAAAAACGAGCTCGAGGGAATGTACGGTATCAGTCAGTCACATTATGAATATGTTTAACTGATATATGATTATTTCTGTAATATGTTTCCTCTGTTTCTAGCAACATGATATCTATTCTTGTCCAGTAAATTAAGGGAAGTTAAATTTGCTATTTTCTTCTTGTTATTATTTTTATTAGTGAAAAGAAAAGGAAATGCATTTTCTTTCTGTATCAAGGATTCACTGTTTATATTAACTGCATATTTTCAACTAGTCTAAATTTTCATATAGGAAACACTGCCAATATTGTTTTCCGTTAATCCACACGCAGTATGAGATTTCAGTCCATCATACTGAACTGAAGGAAGTACTTTTTATTTATAAATATTATTTGAGGGAGTTCCTGATATATTATTCGAATTTGAATTATGTCCTTTTCATGATATGTTTCGTGTATTATGAAAAAATCACTGAACTGCTCAATGTTTGTAACTTATGCTTTTTGATATTTATCAATACTTAATAGAATAGGTTTCTGGAAATTTAAGATAATTCTACAATGTACTCTAACGAGGTTTAAGCATAAATGAATTGTTTCATCATTGTTTCATCAAAATTAAATGCATATTACATATATCCGACAATAGTAATTGAAACAATAGAAAAGAATATTAACTAACTTACCTACAATTTAAAAAAATCCAATTAGAAAAAGACTATTTGTTCACAGAATTAGTGTGTGGGATTTTTCCTCATTCCTCCACGTTATTATAATAATATGTCGGCGTGCTTTAATATTTTTACCTGTGGTGGTATCTCAGTGTGGAATTTATACCTCCAAATAATTCCCCCTTCAGAAGGATAACCTTGTATACATAATATCACAATCAATGAATTAAAAGTCACGGATTTTGTTATGAAAAGAATTTAAACTATCCATCTCTTCGATTTAGAAAGGGCGATTGCAATAGTTTCCTTATTTTAAACCGATATATTTGTCATGGATGATTTATTCTGTTAATAGCTGAAGCAATTTCACGTGAAAATTGGCCATTTTAAAATTCATGTATTTATGTGCCTATACCATGCATAACTTACTTATGACACTCACCACTTTAGGGGCATAGGGTCATGAACAACTCCTCTCCATTCTACAAACTTGCTGTGCATCCTCCATTCTACAAACTTAATAAAACTGGCTGTACATCATTTAATTAGATTGATCAATTAATTCATGATTAACGCAAATATTGAATTGTATCCTTGAAGCAAAAAAAAAAAAACTTACTGAACAAGTTTTTTTTTTTTACAATTAAAAATTATTTGAACGTGGCCAAGCCACGATATGAATAAATTTCCTACGCTTGAATGAACAGGGGGTTATTTACGTTTTGAAATAAAAATGTGCCATCAAACATTATTGGCAAAAAAAAAAAACCCCACAATTCTTGGTATTATTATCTATTCTTTAGTCAGATTAAATGAACATGATTTATTTTTATCAAGCGAAGTAAAAACAAACGTATAACATGTAACTATATATAGTTGACGGGCTTACATTAGTTTTTCAATAGCTTGTTTGTTTGTTTAAGGAGGCTGGGGGGTCAAACAAATTAACCACAAATTAACCACCAGATTTAACTTATTTTTTTTATGCTGTATCTTTAGCTGTCAACTATCATTTGACAAAGAAAAAATTCATAAATTTAGTTTTAGAATTTGATCATTTTTGTATATCTTTATATGGAGCTCTTCTTTTAAAGGAAATCGAAATAGTCTAAAAATGGCTGCCACCCCACAGCCTCTTTAAGGTCCCTTTGAATTATTCACTCGTATTTACAATCTAACACCTTTTCATGTTCTTTTTCGTACAATTTATCTAGGCTAACGTTGTTTTATTTAGTTTGCTGTCACACAGAAGCTGTTACTTTAATTACAAATTAGGCAAAATCTTTTAGACTTAAAAATTTACTATATCATTCCCTATGGATCAAAGAAAAGTATGGAGCAGTTGATGGAAACTCCTAAAGAAAAACACGAATAAGGGAATTTAACATTTAACTTTAAAAAGATAGGAATAAATGATAGAATTGTGTGCAGTCAGGAAACATATAGAGATAATGAACAGTATTCAATATCAAAAGTCCATAAAACAATACAATAGGAGCAGAGCAAACATTGACCTACAAAACATCAGGGGTGGAATCAGGTTCCATAGAGGAGTGAGTATCCCTTGCCGACCGGTCACACCCGCTGCGTGCTCCCTGTCATGATCGGGAAATAACGGAGAAATCCGTCGTCAATTCAGCGTATAAACAATTGACTAACAATCGGTATGAAATCTTAAAATCAGCATTTAATGACTGATTGAAAAAATGTATTTGCTCATAAGGTCATTGTACATGTATCAACCATAGAACTTACGAAATTATGACTTTAAACGAGACTGCTGAAATGTTTGTTTCATCAACTTTTTTATCAATAATTTATCTCGTTTTAAAAATTGTTCATACGTAGAACATGTTCATGCGAATTGAATCACCTGAAATACAAAAACTCCGCATGCAGGCGATGAAGGTTCATTGTTGCATAAGTAAGGGAATTTGACGATAGAAAAGTTAAAGTCATCACGTTTATCAGTCTCTATGTTTTTATTGTTTATTTCTTATAAATAGTTTTACAAATTCTTTGCTCTTAAGCTTAGTTTTACGATTACCATTAACGTCTTTTTCATCTTTTTCAAGTAAAATATCCAAATATGAAACAGTTGTGTCAGACTCTGTTGTATCTTTTATCTCAAGCTCACCAAGATATATCGTATCGACACAAGACTGGAAATTTTACAAATTGATTGCATTGAAGAAAAGTAAAATACGACATAAAAATATAAATGTAAATAATTATTGTTAAATTAAATCTAAAATGATTAATTGTATTATTTCCGACGTCCATTCGAGAATTTTTCACTCATATAGAGAAGTCACTATATTCTGGTGAAGGGATTTGCATTTTGACCTTTACTTGGCACTCATTACCATTGAGCTGTGAGGATTCTTTATCGTGTCAACGCCTATCATGCCAGTGGGCGTTGCTTTTTTAAGGTCTCATCGGCATGACGCACAACTTTTTCTTTAAAGTTTAAAGCACTTGGCGAAGAAACATTCGAAATTCGTTATCGACTTAGGTTAGCCGCTGTCGTGGTTCGAACGTACGACCATACTACGATCACTGACCTACCGTGACGGTAAATCTTCTGGTATGGAGATTAAGGGTTTGTTCCCATCTCGCCTTAACTGTAAAAATTAACATTCCCATTTCGCATTAGTAAGCTCTCAGGTGAATTAAGGTGATGAAGATTTAATATATTTAGCATAAAGTAATTTTTAGTATTACATGTATTATTTCATTCACAATATTCATAAATTCCCATTAATTGTAAAATTCAATCTAAAAATGTTTAACATTTAAATTTTTATATCAACCTAGTACTAGTATTTACAAATACTAAAATTCCCATTTTGCCTTAGTACTTTTAAACTTTTTCTTAACTGAACTTCACAGTTAAGGCGAAATGGAAACACACCGAGATTAAGTACGTTTAAAATTCCGTTGAATCAGTACAAATATGGGGATAAGGTGCAATATAGAACCTACATATAGCACCTTCTGTCGTCTGG